CCAGGAGGAGGTGGGGTTCACAGCATCCCAGGGCAATGGCGTGAGTCAGGACCTGGGCTCCGCTCCTCCACTGTGAGTCTGGGGCGGTGGGCTCCATCTCTTCAGGACTCAGCTCCAACCTGTCACAGCGGGCAGCAAGGAGGACTCAGCCAGGTTCCCCCAAAGTAGCCAAACAGCAAACACTTATGGGCACTAAATCACTTATAAAAATTATCCCTTTAGGTCTGAAGGGGAAGGTAATATTATTGTGCTCATTTCACTGATGAGGAAACTGAGGCACAGAGAAATTTCTCACAGCCAGGGATCCACCCAGGCATTTGGCCTGAAATGACAGGTGGGTACAGGTGGTCAGTGGTTTAATCCGTATTGAGTGCTTGCTGGGTCCTCACAGCCATCCGATCTGTGTCCCTGCCCACAGTGACTTGGCGGCTGGCCTGGGCATGGCGGACCCAGTGGCAGGCATTGCAAGCTCGGCAGCCAAGAGCGTGAGGCCATTCCGCTCGAGTGAGGCCTATGTGGAGGCCATGAAGGAGGACCTGGCCGAGTGGCTCAACGCCTTGTACGGACTGGGGCTGCCCAGTGGCGGTGATGGCTTCCTGACGGGCCTGGCCACCGGCACCACTCTGTGCCAGCATGCCAACGCGGTCACCGAGGCTGCCCGTGCTTTGGCTGCTGCCCGCCCAGCGCGAGGTGTGGCTTTCCAGGCTCACAGCGTGGTGCCCGGCTCCTTCATGGCCCGAGACAACGTGGCCACCTTCATCGGCTGGTGCCGAGCGGAGCTGGGAGTGCCCGAAGTGCTCATGTTTGAGACCGAGGACTTGGTGCTGCGGAAGAACGAGAAGAGCGTGGTGCTCTGCCTGCTGGAGGTGGCTCGGCGTGGGGCCCGCCTCGGCTTGCTCGCTCCTCGCCTCGTGCAGTTTGAACAGGAGATTGAGCAGGAGCTGCGTGCTGCACCCTCGGCCCCCAGTGCCCCCAATGCCCCCACTGCCGGGGAGGACACTGGCCCCGAAACTGCTGCTGCACCAGGGGTTCCCGCCCGAGGGCCCCGCATGACGCCCATGGACCTCCGCAACCTCGACGAACTGGTGAGTTCAGGGGCCCCTGCTATGCTCTTACCCTGCACTTTTTACCAGGAACCAGCCAGCAGAGCTAGTGCCCACAGCTGGTCCCTGAACCTCTTTGCAGGACAGCCTGCCCCGTGGAAAGAGTGAGTATGTTGAGCACCGAGTGTATGCCTGGCTCCGGAGGAGATACGCAGGCCTGTGGAGTGGGAGAGGTATTGGGTGAGGTCATGTGGCCCAGCTGGCTTGGGACAAAACGTGAGCTCCACCTCATGACTGACCGCTTTCCCTTGTGTGCGAAGCAGGCACCAGCTAAGTGCTATGTCTGCCTTCATCCACGGCCACATGACTTGGGCCCCTCCTGGGTGCCCTTATTCAAGTGCTAGACAGTTTCATCCATGTTGCTTGAGGTTAAGCGGGTCCCTGTGACGTCTGGCTCTGAACAACGTGCCTGGCACACAGTAGGTACTCAGTGGTGCCTAAGGAAGCTCCAGGGCCCCACGCACATCATTTATGTGGGAAGCCAAGCCCAGAGCTGCTATTGCTGCTGGGAGCTATGGCATTAGTTCTACTCTGAGCACAGGAGGTGCCAGGCCATGCCCCCAGCTCCCTCCTCCTTCTCCGGGGACCTACGTGTCCCTGACACCCCCGCAGCCAGGCCTAGAGTTTCCTTCTTATCAAGGGGTTAGGGCTATGATGTGCCTGTCCTGGAGGGGGACAGCCGGATGGCGTGGGCAGAGGCTGCCACCCCACCCACTCCTGTCCTGGGCCAGGGCCACCCGAGGCTCCACCTGCTCATTTCCTCCAGCTCCGCTGTGGGTGGGTGGAGAGGTGGGCGGAGCTGCCCGCGGAGCCAGCCTGGCAGCTCGGGCGTGAAGGGACCTGTGGACAGATATATGCTCAATAGGCAGGTGGCCTGAGGGTGCATGTTGGTGTGTCTGCGGCACCCCTGCTTCAGTGTGCTGTGAGCCCCGAGGACCTGCCTCCTCCCAGGACCTGGCCTCCCTCTGGGCCTCAGTCTCCATGTCTGTGAAGTGGGTGAAGGGAGGGTGAGCATGGCTGCAGGGTGCCTCGAGGCTCGGAGGTTTTGGGAATGGGCCTCGTCGGGGCCCCCGGTCTTGACCTGACCACCACCCTACCATCTGGTTCTCCTTGCCCCTCACAGTGAAAAGGGAAGGAGAGCTGGTGAAAGGTCAAGTGTAGAGGCTGTACCAAGTCTGGGGCAACACAGTCATACCCTCATTCCCCGGAAGGACTTCCTTCCTCCTGACCCTGGAGTGGCTGACGTCATGCTCCAGGAGGAGGGACTTAACCCCTGACTTCCAGCCATTCCTCTTTGGCCTCAGGTGAGGGAGATCTTGGGCCGCTGCACCTGCCCAGACCAATTTCCCATGATCAAGGTCTCGGAAGGCAAGTACCGCGTGGGAGACTCCAGCCTGCTTATCTTTGTACGGGTAAGAGTTGGGGGCTACCTGCAGGCAGCAGCCCATGGGGTGGGCTGCCAACCCACAGGACAGGCTGTGACCTGCCGGCCTCCCACAGGTGCTGAGGAGCCATGTGATGGTTCGAGTGGGTGGCGGCTGGGACACGCTGGAGCACTACCTAGACAAGCATGACCCTTGCCGCTGCTCCTCCACAGGTTAGTGCCCTAGGCAGGGGCAGGGGGCTCATCTCTGTGGCTCCGCCACTCACGTGCCGCCTGTCTTCTCCCTGCAGCGCACCGCCCACCCCAGCCGAGGACCCAAACCTTCTCCCCGCAGAGGGGATCACCCATCCCCAGCCCCCGAGCTGGTAGCCCAACCCCAGGCGGTGAGCGGCGAGGCTCCCGGCCAGAGGTGACACCCACCAGCTTACGAAGTTCAAAGGAGGGGCCCGAGACCTCACTCAGGTGAGAGGCAGGACAGCATGGAGGTGAGGGGTCTAGAGGGTGGAGGTGGGGACGTCTGCCCTGTCCTGGATGGAGGAGCTTGTGCTCCAGAGTGACTCACACCCTGGGAATAGTTCCCGTGGGTGGGGGCAGGCCTAGCTTCCCATCTCCATGGCAACCCAACCAAACTAACAACACAGCTGGGGCGGGACCTGGGGCTGGGTGGCAGCCAGTCCAACCCCGCTTCCCTCTGGCCTGCCCAGGAAACAGAAGGGCTCAGGAGGGGGAGCTTAGGGCCCCAGAGACCTTGCTTCCTCCACCGCCTTGGGGTAGCTGTGGGGGTAGGGACCCTGGCTGTGGGAAGCTGGTGCAGAGTCTCACTTCTCCCTGGAAGTCCCCAGGACAGACATAAGCCCTTAACAACCCCCACCAAAACCCCCCACAGCACCACAGGTGCCTTCCCCACCCCCAGCAACCACAAACCTGCTTCTTCCTCTCCCTACCCTTTCTGCACGCCGGTCCTCTTTCCGTGATGCCCCATCTCTCTTTTTGTTCCCCTGCCCAGGGCCCGGGATTCACTGCCCCCTCACCCCCGCTCCCGACGCTACTCTGGGGACAGCGACTCTTCAGCCTCCTCAGCCCAGAGCGGCCCACTCGGTGCCCGAAGTGATGACTCAAGCACTGCTCCCCGGAGGGAACGGCCTAGCCGGCGGCTGACCACAGGCACCCCAGCCTCCCCGAGACGGCCACCTGCCCCTCGAAGCCAGTCCCGAGACCAGCTAGATCAGCTAGACCGGGGCCGGCCCCGGGAGGCCCCAGGAGGCAGGAGAGCCCAGCTGTCAACTCCCAGTCCTGCCCGAAGGGCCCGGAGCCAGAGCCGCGAGGAGCATGCTGTGCTGCTTGTGCGTAGGGACCGAGATGGGCAGCACTCGTGGGTGCCACGGGGTAGGGGCAGTGGGGGCTCCGGCAGGAGCAGCCCCCGTACTCCCCGTGCCTGCAGCCCTGCAGCGCCCCGGCCTCCCCGGGTCCCCAGCCCCAGTCCAGAGCTGGGCACCACACCAGCCAGTGTCTTCCGCACCCCCCTGCAGCTTGATCCGCAGCATGAGCAGCAGCTGTTCAGGTGCCTGGAAGAGGAGTTCCTGGCCAATGCCCGAGCCCTTGAGGCTGCTGCTGGGGGAACGCCCCCTGGACCAGCCCCTGACCTGGCTCGGGCCCCAGACCCTCCAGCTCCCGACTCAGCCTACTGTTCCACCAGTTCCTCCTCTTCGTCCCTCAGCATCCTGGGTGGCAAGTGTGGCCAACCGGGGGACTCTGGCCGGATGGCCAATGGGCTGCCTGGGTGCCGAGGTCCAGCCCTGTCCAGCTCTTCCGATGAAGGTAGCCCCTGCCCTGCTGTGGGGGGGCTTCCAGATGCAGCTGGGAGCCACCTGGCTGGCCCTGAGCCCCCGAGGACCTGGGCACGGGGCCGGATGGACTCACAGCCAGACCGAAAACCCTCACGAATCCCCACACCTAGGGGCCCCCGCCGCCCATCTGGACCCACGGTGCCTGGGGCCTGGCATGCCCTGCATTCGGTCAGCCCAAGGGCTGAGCCAGATTCCTGGATGTAACGGACCAGGCCAGCTGCCCCCAGGCCCCACTTCCCCCTCCTTTTCCTTTGTGGCCTTAACCCCTCTGCATCAGGGAACACCCCCACCCTTGCACCTCTCGGGTATCAGACCTCATGGGACCAGACCCCTTAGGACCACATGGCACAATGGGACCTCTGTTGTACATTCCGATTGGGGGATCAGTGTTGCTATTTAATTACTAATATTATTGAATGCCTTAGAGGAGGCTGGGCCAGCCCAGTGAAGACCTTCCTGAGGTCCTGTGGCCTTGCAGAACCTGACAGTAAAGTTTTGTTCCAGCCACTTGTGTCTGCTTCTTGGGGACTCATCCTTGGGGCCGTCACACCCTTTTGGGGGCCTTGTTAAGTGTTGAGATTCTGGAGTTGGCTGTTGGGGGCAAAGCCTGGCAGCTCGTTTCTAGGCTTATGACTACCCTGTCCGTCCCAGAAATGCGAGGTGCACTTGAATTGTTTCCCCCTTTATTATCTCCTGAGATATATGACTTGGGGTTTTGTCCGGTAAGGCTCCAGAAGCAGTCTGAGAGCTTCCAATCAGATTCATAGTCAAGTCCTTTCCATCCAATGAGATCGTGAGTCCTTATCCCAGAAAAGACTGATCTTGTCTGAATGGGGCCTGGCTGGGTCCAATGAGATTCAAAGAGAGGCCGGTTGTCCTCCAGGAGACAGGGTGGGAGCTTTCCTCATCCAATCAGGGAGGAGATTGTCCTGTCCAATTCGAAAACAGTTGGCAAATTCGTCCAGTCCAGGTTCCCGGTTGTTCCAGTCAAAATGCCCCGTTCTCCATCGGAGTCGTCCACTTTGGTCACATAAGGCTGCAGCGTGCGGGGTGCAACGCCCCCTGCAGGCGCAGGGCTGGGTGTGCAGGCCGCGCGCGCACCAGCGCGCAGCGTAGCAGCTCGCGAAAGAGACGCAGCACGTGCCAATTGTACTTAGCTGAGCACTCGAGGTAGCCGCAGCGCCAGCCCCTGCGAACCAGGGCAGCCAGTGCTCGCCGAGGCCCAAAGCGCTGCCGTTGCCGGTCCCGCTTGTTGCCTACCACGAGGATGGGTGCCTCGGGCGCACCTGCCGGCCTGGGGGCCAGATGGGAATGAGGGCCAGGTGCTAAGGACCCCGTGGTAATTCCACCAGTGAGCTTATACACTCAAGAGCATCCTCTCCTGCCCCAGACACACCCCAGCAAACAACACCAGACCCGTATGGGCCAAAGGCCTTTCCATAGACAAAGGCCTGGCTCAGCAAGCCTGAGACCAGGCCCACGATGGCGAAAGAACCCACTCACTCCCTTCTGGCAAAGGCCTGACCAAATTGGCAAAAGCTCCCCTTCTCCTCACCAGCCCCCACCCCTCAGTCCAGCTGCATCCTCTCATCCTCACCTGGTCTCTGCAATCCGCTGCCGCAGCGCCTTCACGTAGTCGAAGCTGTCTGGGCTGCAGATGTCATAGACGAGCACGAAGGCGTCCGTGTCCTGCAGGCTCCAGTCCTTAGTGTCTGGCCACTCCTGGGGGCGGGAGACTGGGGTTTGCCGGCGCCCCTTCCCCACTCTCCTGCGCTGCGCCCCGACCTTCTGCAGGGGTCTTGACGCTAAACCCACAGTTCATCCTCTGACCTCGGTGGTCCCCATCCTCCTCTGTGAGCCCTGTCCCCCCAAGTTCCCTGGGCCCGACTGTCCTCATGGCCACCAGGATAAAACTTTCCAAACCATGCCTGAAGTTGGTCAGCCACCTGCCCTACTTCTCTCTAGGCCTCCACGCTGCCTACCCTCTAGTTTCCTCCTCTTTCCAGCTTTCAATTCGATCAGGCCCCTCCCCTCCCTGCACGCTCTGGCTGGTTACTACCACCCCTAAAACTGATTCCAAAGCACGGGGCCTGTTGTGGGCAGCTGCAAACGTTTAGGTCTCTAGGTCTAAACACATTATTTTATTTCCACCTGGAGTGTTTTTGCCACTTCTTTTAATCAAAACTTCACTCATCTGTACAGGTTCAGCCCAAATGCCACCCCTCCTGGAAACCCTGCTTAATCCTGCCTGCTCTTGCCTCTTCGCCTCTCCAAGGCACCCAGCTCCAAGGATTCAATGTCTGTCCTGGTCTTTACATGAATTCCCGTACGAATCTTTGCTCCAGGCCACAGAAATGGGGGAACAGGGAATGACACCCTCACCCCAAGAAAGTACACCCCTGTGTCTGGCCCCAACTTTCCCAACACGGCTCTGTTCAAGGCCCCAAATTCAAAACACTCACCCCTGGGAGGGGCACGACTATGCTCCACCACGCACTAATCCAGACCCACCAGCGGAGGCAGGCAAATACAGAGGCACTTCTGTGAGAAAGAACCACCTCACAAAATCACCCAGCCCTGGGCCTGGTCTTGCGCACCTCCGGGCCAGCAAGAAGGGTGAGACACACAAACACCAGGACACGCAGTCATCCTTCAATCCGTGCACATGGTTGGGCACGCTGGGGCTGCCCACGCGAACACACTGGTGTACACCGCCCCCCACACACACGCACACTGACACACCCCTCTTCGACCCTCGAGCCGCTACCTCTAGACCCCTGGGGCTCTGACCGGGTCCAGCGCCATCACCGTCGCGGATGCTCAGGTCGTAGACGGCGCCGTCGAGCAGCACCGCGGGCCGGTAGAGGCGCGGCCCATCCGTGGGCTGGTGGCGCTCGGGGTAGTCGCCGAACAGGAACTGGCGGATGATGGCCGTCTTGCCCACTCCCGGGGCTCCGAGTACGGCCACCCGCAGGCTGCCCCCCATGGCCGGCGCGCGCTGCCGCGCCCTGCGCTGGGAAGCCTCATGGGCCGGCGCCGCTCCATGCGCCCCGCGCGCCCTGCCCAGTGTGCCCCGGCCCCATCGCGCTCCTCATCGCCCGCTGGAGCAGCCGGGGCCGGGGGAGACCAGGCCAGAGGACTGAGCTGGCGGCAGGAGGTCAGACAGACAGCCGAGCAGGCCGACGACGGGCGCAGGAGCAGCTCCGGTGGGTGCCGAAGCTCCGAGAGAACAGACCCGACGCGCCGCGCGCAGACACGGCCCCCGCCCGGCAGCGGGACTGGAGGCACCGGCAGCAGCGCGCAGCACTGAGATCCGACCTCCGCGCCGCGAGGGTCCCGCAGTGGAGCGGGGCGCAGGGGACAGTGCTGCCTCTCGGCGCTGCGATCCCTCCGTCCTTCTCTCGCTCCGGTGCCTGGAGTCGCCGCCCCAGCCGGCGGCGCGAGCGAGCCGATGAGGTAACCGCCTGCTGCCCCTCCCACCTCCCCCTACTCGCCCGGGACGCCCCTCCCGGGAAGGGTCGCGGGAAGGTGACTGGGGCGCTGGGAGCTCGGGGAGGGACCCAGCTCTCTCCGCGCACCGCGCTCCTCTCATCCGCTCAAAAATAGAAGCCCTTCTCGCCCACGTCCGCGTCCGCTCCGCCTTATACCGCTCCGCGAAGCTGGTTTCAGGCAAACCCCGGCCCGCTGGACTCGGGCCACCCTGGGTCGGACACGGCCCCAGCTGTGTGACCTTGGGCGCGTCTCCGCACTGCGCTGGCTCTCTGCTCCGCATCCATCAAAAGCAGACATCATTTCTTGAGAACCTACTATATAGGGCTGGGCCCTTTGCTAAGCATTTAGGTAAGTGATCCCTGAATCTGCAGCCTCAGCCTGGAATCTCCGTTTAATTAAGAGCACTCTCCCAAGTTGAGGGGCAGTGCGTGACCGCTGGCTAGCAGCCAGGTGGTCTCCTCCGAGGAGCCCTCCCGCCTTTCTCTGCCCCCAGAAGTAAATGGTCAGCACTGCAGAATGTGTCAAACGGCAATCATCGAGGGAGGGCGGGACAGAGGGTGCTGAGCCCAGCGCGCACCAGGTCACGCATCCGCTCGCTCGCAGATCCCTGCCCAAACAAGGCTGAACGATTTAGAAATCGGTTGCCATCACCTCTGCCACTGCTGAAGCCAAATTTTCTACCTGAATCTCCCTCCACCTGTAGCTCCCGCAAAGCCCCAGTCCTCCCTCCCCGGAGCTGGTGGGCGTTCCTTCCCCGTCAGGCGTGGCGAGTCTGGGTTTGCCCAGCTGCCCTCTCCTCCGCCTGCCCCCTGCCTGCAGAGGGGCTCCCACTGCTCCGACCAGATGCAGGTGCTGGGTGAAAGGCACACTCTCCTGTTTCTGCACTGACCAGGGGTCTCGCTTACTTACTGCGGGCCCGGATGCTGAGACGGATTTTAAAAACAAAGGGGGAAAAAGTCTTATTCTAGGAGAGAAGGTTCCAGAATACATGGGATCTAGAAACGGTAAGCACACAGACATGCACACCTCAGCTTGGGGGAAGTGGAGGCAGGACCAGGAGCTAAACCCTGAAGTGGAGAGGGGTGCAGCCTCCAGGGAGCCGATGTGGGGGGGTTTCTTCAGAGCGTGGGGTGTGTTTATATCCCCCCACGCTGGATCGGGGACCTGGGCCTGTCTTCCCTTTTCTCCTCAGCCAGCAGGGAGCTCAGAGTCAGATTTGTGACTACCTTCGGCAGTTGTTCCAGTCTTCAGGCCCGGTGAGGGGCGACTCCTGGCTTCGTCTTCCTCTCCTGCCATGACTTTTCCCATCACCCAATTTCCCCTCTCTCTCTGGAACTTTCCAGGCTCCTGGGTTTTGTGAGCCACCTCATTGCCTTTGGGGAACAAGGCAGGGAGTCAGCAGATGAAGGCCCCCTTCCTGTTTGGTGCTGAGCAGCGTGTGGGGCTCACTCGCGTCAGGCTAGTCTTCCTTAAGGCCCTCAGTGGGCCCTCTCCCTTGCCTGGACCACCCTCTCCTCTCGCTCCTGCCCACCCTCGGGGATGGGGAGGTGCCTTCCTGGGCAGGGCTTCTTCAGGAGCAGCCACGGGGCTGGTTGGGGGTCCTCTCCAGGTCCCAGTGTGGCTCCTCAGCGTGTGGTTTTGGAATGATGGAGCACACTCGGAACAGGGGACGTCCTCAAGTTCCCACGAAGCCCCACAGCCTCTGCAGGGGTGACACGTTCCCTGGCAAACCCTTCCATCAGCATCGCCAGCAGCAGCTGCTATTTCTGAAGGGCCAGTGGTGTGCCAAGCCCTGACCCATAGCTGCGTGCTCAGTGAGGCTCGGAGGGGTGCCCTGATTTGCCCAACACTGTCCAGAAGGAAAGTGGCGGCACAGGTACCGGAACCCAGGACCCGGGGCCACCAAGCCCGACTCCCCGAGAAGCCCAACTTCATCTGGGCCCAGGAGCTAGGGGGGCTTCAGGAGCAGGTCATGTGTGGCCCTGTGGGGAGGGGCTTTGAGGAAGATCCTCTCAGCAGGGGGGCTGGGCTAAGCAGTGACAGGAGTGAGCAGCTGTTGCCCCCCTTAGCCAGAGACCTTGGGCTGCCTGTCTGCCCGGGATGTAAATTTCAGATTTTCTCTCATCGATCCCTCCCTCCTTCCCTAAGGAGAGGCAGCCCGGCTGCTGTGTGCTGCAGCACCCCTCCGGTGCCCCTCACTCTCATCCTTCCCTGCGGTGTTCCCTGGGGCACCCACCAAGCTTCCATGCATGTGCTCCTTCAGCACCAGGGCCTGGGCGCTGGGCACCAGACCCACCCTCCGTGACTGCCGAGGGTGACAGACATACAGCCAGGCACAGACAGGTGGCAACAGGAGCACTGGGCTGGCTCAGGCCCAGGAGGCTGATGGGACCCAGGGGTGCACCAGCCTGCCCAAGGAGGGGGGTTCAGGAAGGACCTGATGACACACCTAAGCTGAGCCCTAGAGGATTAGCCACAGAAAGTGGGGTGGACTGAGGGGTGGTTGAGAGTGCCAGGGACAGGCACTGTGTCCCAGGATTTGGCGTCCCCCAGTTCATTGCCAAAAGCCACCTAAAGCCAGCCGGCTGCGTATCCACCACCCCATGTCCCAGCCTTTGCCACACAGCTTCTTCCTAACTGGCCTAGTTCCAGCCCTTCCCTGGATTGCATCCAGCTTCCAGCGGCATTTGCTCTGGACTCCTCTGGCCCAGCCATCTGGGCCACTCACTGGCCATTAATCACGGTCTATGCTGACCATGAATTACAGCTCCATGCCTCTTGTCCCAGGCCCTGAATGGGGATCACCCTGACCACACGGATGCCTGGCCTATCGTGGGTCCTTGGTCACCACCACAACGCTGCCCGTCGAGTGTAGCTGGTCAGCCCCCTGAGGCCAGTAGGGTCTACAGCCATCAGGACACAAGGAGGCGGGGCAGACAGGGGAGGAACTGAGGCTTCCTGCCTCAGAAGTGAGAGCTCCTCCCGGGGTGGGCCATCTGTGCGAGTTACTTAAACTCTCTGAGCCTCAGTTCCTCCCCTTTAAAGGGATCCTAATGGTCTTATCTTCATAGCGTCGTTGTGCGACTGAACGAGATGACACACAGAGAAACAACAGTTTAGCAAGGCTGGAATGGACAGAATTTGTGCATATAAAATAATTTTTTTTAATTTAAGATTTTATTTATTTTTAGAGAGAGAGGAAGAGAGGGAGAGAAACATCATGTACGAGAGACACATGGATCGCTTGGTTGCCTCTCGCACACCCCCAGCTGGGGACCTGGCCTGCAACCCAGACATGTGCCCTGACTGGGAGTAGAAGTGGCGACCTTTTGGTTCACTGGCTGGCACTCAATCCACTGAGCCACACCAGCCAAGGCAGCATTTCGTTTTTATATGCGAATCATAAAACATAGTGGAGAGGCATGTCTGCATACCTGGGTAAGTACGCACACAGGCATTTCCTAGTGCGCCGGCTGAGAGAGCCTCCACTTACCACCCTGGGGGCAACAAGGTCACCCAGCACCCAGATCTTGGTCTCGAATGCTGCTCGCTGGCAAATGAACCAGACTCCTTGGAGAAAAATGGCTGATGCTAGGGTTGGGGCAGGACAATACAACGTGAGCCTGGAGCATCTTGGAGTGCCGGAGAGCAAGGAAGTTGCCAAAGGAACATGAGGATGGTGGCATGTCAAAGGGACACGGAATCTACCTGACAGAGCTCCCAGTGGCCAGAGCAGAGACAGTTTAAGAAAAAAGGAATGTGGTTTTGCCTTAAACCAAAATTATAAAATAAATATGGCTCCAAACTAACATAAATCATTTCAGAAATAAGTGTGGGAGAAGAAACAAATCTTCCTTACAGAAGAATACTGAATAATTTATGCAGCGACTTCCTGCCCCCGCACTCTCGCCTGGGCGTAGGCTGCACTCGGTGACTGGCTTCCAGAGAACAGCGCACAGACGGGGAGAAAGCACCTTCACGGCAGACAAGCTGTGAACACCGCCGTGGCCAAGTGACTCGGGCTAACGTGCCTGTGATAAGTCATGTCGATGGCAGGTGCCCCTGAGGTGATGTGATGAGAAGAGCACCACTTTGGTCTTCTTTTTAGAGATTTTATTTATTTATTTTTAGGGAGAGGGGAAGGGAGGGAGAAAGAGAGGGAGAGAAACACAGATGTGTAAGGGATACATCAATTGATTGCCTCTCGCATGCCCCCAACTGGGGACCCAGCCCACAACCCAGGCATGTGCCCTGAGTGGGAATTGAACCGGCGACCCTTTGGTTCGCAAGTTGGTGCTCAATCCACTGAGCCACACCAGCCAGGGCTGGTCTTCTTAAAAACTCCCATTTCACCCCGAGAAGAACATCAGACAAGCTGAACTGAGGGATAATCTACAAAATATCTGATCAGTACCCCTCGAAATTGTTAAGGTCATGAAAAACAAAGACAGTCCGGGAACCTGTCACAGAGCAGAGGAGACTCCGGAGACATGACAACCACAAGGAATGTGGGATCCAGGGACAGAGGTGGGCATGGGTGGGAAAGCGAGTGAAATCTGAAGCAGGTCTGCAGTTTTGTTGAAAACTGATGCATTACAGGCCCTGGCTGGGTAGCTCAGTTGGTTAGAGCGTCGGCCTGATACACCAAGGTTGTGGGTTTGAGCCCTGGTCAGGGCGCGCACAAGAAGCAACCAGTGAATGCAGTGATGAGTGGAACAACAAATCAGTGTCTCTCTCTCTCCAGTCAACTTAAAAAAGAAAAATTATGTATTATATAATTTGTGTTATTTTATATTATTCTGATGTTTACATTTTATATATTTATAAATATATATTTAGATCACAAATATATTATATATGGAAAAGAATGAAAAAGAGCCATTTATAAAAGGAAGCAAAAAAAAAAAAAAGCTCTACCCAGCAAAGCAAAGTATCATTTAGAATCAAAGGACAGATAAAGAGCTTCCCAGAGAAGGAAAAGCTAATGGAGTTCATCATCACCAAGCCAGCATAATATAAAATGTTAAAGGGTCTTCTTGAAGAAGAAGAAGAAGAAGAAGAAGAAGAAGAAGAAGGAGAAAGATAAAAATATGAATAAAATGGAAATAAATACATATCTATCAACAATTGAATCTAAAAAATAAACAAAAAAGCAGAACAGAAATAGACTGATAAGCTACTAGAACATTTACATGTGTCCCGGGTGGGAGGGGCTGGGGGGAGGGGTGAGAAAGGTGAGGGGATTAGGAAGCACAGACTGGCAGTCACAGAACAGTCTCGGGGATGGAAAGCACGGCTCAGGGAGTGCAGTCAATAATATTATCAAAGCTGTGCATGGCGTCAGATGAGTGAGATTTACTGGGATGATCACTTTAATTAGCTATGTAATGTCTAATCACTGAGGAGTATACCTGGAACTAATAAAATTATGGCAACTGTAATCAAAGCATTTAAAAAATGATAAAGACAACA